CTCTTGAGCATATTACTGCACGTATCATTATACCGCCAATATTCATCAAGGAACGAGTTGAACATTGGATGTTGCTGCCATGCTACTACAAATCTAAATGGGCTTGCCCCTAAATGAGCATGAGTAGCATGCAACTCCACTAAAAGAGGATTGTGATCGGATTGAATCCTAGGAAGCACCTGAACATTTGCATCTGTGTATTTCAATCTCCAAGCTTCATTGGCACATACTTGATCAAGTCGCTTAAAAATACGATCCAAATGTCCCCACTTAGGACCTTGCCAAGTAAAGAAAGCACCAGCTCCACCCAAATCGATTACTTTACAATCATCTAAAACTTCAGCAAATTTTTGACATTTTGTTATATCAACAGTAGCCCCACCTTTCTTCTCTGATGAATGTGCAATCTCATTAAAATCACCATTCGTAATCCAAGGATCCGCTACTTGAGAGCTCATTCTTCGAAGATCTTGCCATAATAAGTTTCTCTTCTCTTCACGGGGGCTGACATAAATAGCTATAAGAAAGGTGAACAGTTCCCCATTTTTAAGAATTTTAACATGGACAAACTGACTAGATTGCTCAATAGGCTCTATTCTGAAGAAATGAGAGCACCAAAATAACCAAATACCACCAGAAAACCCCTGGGCCTCTTCAACAATTATTTTATCAAAACCTAGGCTTTTTGCTAATTTTGCAGCTCGATCACCAGAAGCCCTAGGTTCAAAAATTGCCACCAACTTGATATTATGTTTCTGCACAAGAACTTTAAGTGTATGAGCCAGTCTTCCGCTAGCTGCACCTCTACAATTCCATAGAAGGTCTGACATTAAGACATGTGTTCTGACACATTGATCACTGGAACCTCCAAACGCTCCATCAGCTCATCTGTATTCAAGCTAGTATTCTCTATTGCTACCATATCAATATCACTCACATTTTGAATCTGCCCTTGATTAGAAATTGGTTCTGGGGGTCTTGGTGGATGGGCCAAAAGCATATTGTTTGTAGTTTCATTACTTTGATCGACTAGCATATGGTGATCCTCCAAATTCCCTGTTATGCTATTCTCGGTTTTCGCAGAGTTCTGCATGATTTTTAACGTGGATCCTTGCGTCATTTCCTTCCCAGAGACTTGATTCGGTCTTCGTTGATGAGACGCAACAGTTTGTTCCTTGATAACCGATGCTTTTAATTTTTCATTATCAATTGGTTGCTCAGCTATGTACAGCTGTCCATCATCAATTTTTTTCCATGCAAGTTTATACTGAGTTTCCGTTTCCATTAAGACCGTTTTCCCCTTACTATTGCTGCTATTAATCACCGGATTACTTGCCTGAATTTCATGCACGGGAATAGGAGTTTCTTTTCCTTGATTTGCGCCAATCATAGATGTGGTACCTCCCAATTGTGTTCCCTTATTAATGCTGCTATTAATCACCGGATTACTTGCCTGAATTACATGCACGGGAATAGGAATTTCTTTTCCTTGATTTGCGCCAATCATAGATGTGATACCTCCCGATTGTGTTCCGTTATGATTCTGCATTAACGCACCATCCGTAACTCCCTCCACTGATTGCGCTAGGGCTGCGAATCTGGAGCTGTTCTGTTGGCTACCACGTGACTTCTCTGTTTGAACGCCGTCAGCCCTTCTGTTTCTATCATCCGCCGCCGCCGGCTTCCTGCCTTTTCTATTCCTGTTAACAATCATCCATGGACCATAACCTTCTTTTGGAACATTCTGGTTACCTCCCATGTCAACATCAGGGTCGTTCTCTGTAACTGGGACTTCTTTGCCATCGTCATTTTTCTGCACTTCTTGGTTCTTTGTTGAGTTTGTTTCTACAATCTTCCTGGCTCTCAAGATAGGGCAGGCATCAGTTCTGTGTCCGTAGGTACCACATTCAAAACAAACCAGATGTAGACCTTCATACTCCACCTTTTTAACTTGTCCTTCCAATTTGTATTCACCATGAAAAGGTTGGCTTAGATCAAGCTCTACACACAGACGTGCAAATCTTCCTCGCTCTATGCTTGTTGTAGTGCTATCAATCTTTATAAACTTGCCCAACCAATTGCCAATTGCTTTGAACACATTTGACGCAAAATATTCTACTGGGATATCAGGCAGCCTCACCCATGCAGCAATTCTATCAATACTGGCCATATGGGGTTGAAAATCCGGAGACCAAGAACGAACAACCAAATAATGATTCAGAATGCTCCACGGCCCTTCTGACCAAGCAAATTCCAGATCCTCTTTCCTCTCAAACTTGACCAGAAAATAATCATTCTCTAAATCTGTGACCAGAATTCTTCCTTCTCTCGCCTACAAGCTCTCCAATCGCCTCTTCATGAAATTCAAGGAGACCTTTTTTCCCCAACAACTTTACGATAAGAGTGTTCCACCAAGGTTTCCTTATTTTTTCCTTCAACTGGTCCGATAATTTGAAATTGGTTCGCCCATCCGGATCTAGTTCATAGATAATTTTTGTATCATCCTCATCACCATTCTGGTAATCCTTCATATTTTCGCCAAATTCGAACTCCCCATTGTGCCTTAGCAATGCTTCCCTGAAGGAAGGCCTTTTTTCCATCCAGTCCTCCTCTCTCCGTACCCTTGCCTCATCAGGGTTAAAGTTACCTTCACCACTCTTACATTTTTTAGTACTCCTCCTCAACTGGTCATCTTCCTCCACTGTACGCTCATGCTCTCCTCGCTCATCGTCATTTTTTATGTGAATCTAGACAATGTTTCATTTTTTATATATTTATTTTAATTCTCTCTTTGAGGTGAGTATGAGATTCTTTGGCCTTTAATTCTTTGAGTTGGCTATAAATAAGAGAGTAAATAGGTTGTGCTGAACTAGACTTTGATTTAAATATGTCAGGTCTATATGAAATATTTTAGGTCTAACCTGATCTGTTAGCCTTCTGTAGACCCAATTTATAAGTCTGTCTTAACCTATATTTAAAAAATAAAAGCTTTGGCCTAGGCCTGTTAACCTATTTGAGCCTATTAGACATTTAATAATTAAAAAAAAAAAAAATTATTAAAATAATAATTTATTTATTTTATTTAAAATAAATAATATGATATAGGCTGGCTTGTAAGCTTATACGCCTGGCAAGTAAAAAAAAAAACCTACGGCTGGCTTTCTATATAGGCTTTTTTTGAAGTCTGAGCCTATTCTATTTAACTTTAGGTAATAGGCCGAACTATAGGCCCCTATTAAGCCGACTGACTCATTTACGTCCCTAGTTATGAGATTAATTCGGAATCGAGACTTAATCACAGTTAAAGCCAATGTTATTAAACATGTCCTGGTTATTAACCCGGTCAAGATATTGGGTCATTGGTTTAATCAGTGGGTCACTGGTTCAACCGCATGACCCTATAAGTATATATAAATCTATAATTTATATTAAAAAGCTTTAAATATACTTAAATACTTGTAAAAAATGATATCAATTTTAAATATTTTAATATGAAAAATAATAAATTACACATCATTGTCCAATAGAAGATCAATCAAACATATAATACTTGTGGTACTGGTGTTTCACGTTCAGTAGACTACATCTCTAACTATAAATCAAATCAAAATTCCTTGCATATTGCATAACCAAAATAATATTAGTGTTGTAAGTACATAATCTATGTAAGTTAATAAATAATAGATCTCAAATGTTTAAAAAAAAAAAATCATTTGTGTGTGAAAGTGAAAAAAAAGAAAGGCATCAATTGATGATAACAAACCATTTTTTTTATGAACCGGCCAGGTCACCGGTTGAATCGATAGGGTAACTGATTTTTACAAAAATCGGACGGGCCACACCAGTTCTATAACATGGCCGGTCCATTATGAAAATCGAATCAATTACATGACCGGTTCATCGATTTTTGGATTCACCCCACCTGATGGATCCGATTTTTATAACATTGGTTAAAGCTCTTTCCGAAAGATATATTTAATGAGAATAGAATAAAGCTTCACCTCCTGAGCTTGCTAACTCAACTTCACCTATTGGGTAGATATTTATCATAATTCACCTTTAGTCCTTTCTTACAAGCTTAAATAATTGCAAGATGTCAAAAGGGAGTGGAGTCATGTTATTCTGCCACTCCCCCGTGAAACACCTAAAATTCCAGCGCATGCAATTAGGGTTATGAAAGTTCTTTAAGTATATTTACGCAGAAATAATGACATTGTCCAGTTTTTAATTAAAAAAAATGTTTAAATCCTTAAACCATGAATGGTATATAACAACATATATTCTTAATTATGTACCAAAGCGTGCATCGTTAAATTTTCAGCCAACAAATGAAAAATATTGTCTAAATCATTTGTTCTACACTTCGGCCTCAGATTTGTCATGTAATGCTCCACAAGGAAAAACTTCAATTGGATATCTCCCTTTTTGTCCGGAAGGAAAAAGTTGACCTCATATCTCGTTTTTTGTTCAGTTGCTAAGATGAATTGAGGAGACTTAATGCATAAGAGATTGAAAACAAATTTGAAAAGAGATAAACATAATGAGATTTTTTTCTACAATTTCTTTTTTCTTTTTTAAATTTTAAGTTATTTAAACATCATGTACATATATGCACAATCTTATTAACTAATAAAATGAAATAGTAGTAATAGGATGTGATTTATACATTCTTAACAAGTTTAGGGTTGTCATCAACAAATGGGTGGTCTAGTGTTGTGTAATATAGCCTTCATATATTATTGACATTCATCATATTTAGTTGGTGTGCTTCTAGCCTGTTCTTGCATCCTACCATGACCATCATAGTATAGTAACAGTTCAGTGGGCAGGAATCTCAGAAACCTCAACAACTTTCTGTTGATGGCAAATGGTTACAGAAGCTTTTATCATATTCCACCAACAACACCTGTTTTGTTAGTGCTCATTCTCTATTTCTGCATTAACCTTGCTGATTTCTTCCACAACTCTTATCATGCAAGAAAATCCAACCATATACATAATCACAGTCTGAGATTTATCCTCTCAGATATCCTCATGATATCTGAAAATATTCTATCACCACCAATATCTGCACCTGTGGCTCCAGCAGCAACTTGCAAAACATCTTCAATCAAAGCAACATTTCCCATAATGTTGACATGTGCTCCACTCTCTAGACCTCTCCCCTCAAGAACACTACCTGGATTTTTGTGCTGATACTCTCTTATATATGTGGCCATTCCTGATGGATTGAACCGTGTTCTTCCACGCCATCCTTTGGCACACATGAACCCTGCACTTAGTACAGGAGCACTTTCATCACCATCCACAAAATGAACACCATTTCGTATACAATTTCCCTTTTCTCCATCTGCTGAACTATCAATTTGGAAAGGAATACTCTTGCACTTGTCAGAAGGTGACAACTTGTTCAAATATGATCTTTCAGTAGGAATTTCAACACCATATAGACAATATATTTCCACATCCGGAGCATCAGGTAGTCTGAATCAAAAGGCCACATTTATTTTTTAAACAAATAAATCAAATGGGAATAATCAAGAGTAGTGGTATAAAGAACCTTAGGATACACCACCCCAAAAGCTAGCTCAAAGGGTGAGAGTGCCCAAGGCTTTATAAACTCCACATTAGTTGCTCTTCAACTAATGTGGGACTATATATCTCAACAAATAGTATCAATATCTCAGAGCTTCCTATGTATATGATGCTTAAATTCATTAGAAAAAGAAAAGAAAATCACACCAATTGATCTAATGCTGATGCTCAATTTGGGTGGTAAGAATTTTGTAAACATGGTCTTTTCTGGTATTGCTCTACCCTCACTAGTTGGGGTTTACCGGGGAGTGGAGTGTTGGTCTTTTCTGGAATTGTGATATATATATATATATATGGGAAATGATTCGTTTACAAACTCTTACAAATTATACTATGTACTCCTGGAAGTACATGATGTAACTTAGTGTACTTCCGGGAGTACATAGTGTAGTTCGTAAACAAAATTTTTGTAAATATAACCCTCCTATATATATATATATATATATATATAATTCTAAACTTAGATATCCCACATAAGGTACTTTCGAATAACTATGAAAAGTTGTGTCAATTAAAGAAATGTCACGGATAATCTTTTAAGGAAAAACTAGTCAAAAGTATTTCATGAATCTATATACTTACTTGGTCTCAAGTGGATTAGACCAGTATTTGTAATGGGCATATTTAGGGTCATCTAAGTTCTCTGCTATCCCGTGAGAGAAGTGAGCCTCAGCACGCTTCATCATATTTGGAGCCAAAAAATTAAGTAGATCAAAAACAGTTCTTGCTGTATAAGCCATTTTCTTAGCAACTTTTGGGATGATTTCTCTGCTTATCTCATCACATTCATTCCACAAATCCTCACATGATAAGTTAAAAGTAGCAGAATTACTTTTCCATGAAATTTCCTGCTTATGATGAAACATATGGATCATTATTGTTCTTAAAATATGTATAATTACATTTTACCATAAATATATATATATAATTACATTGATCAAACTAGAAAAATGGCGGATCCAAATAATTACCATGAATGGAACAGTAGAGTTTAAATTATGATTCAATCAATGATGGAATGCCTTATAAAACATGTACAATAGTTTACATTTATGAAACAAATAACATATCTAAAGTCTTGGATGCTCAAGAATAAACGGACTTAGCACTGGGAAATTAAAACCCGGCCTCTTCTGATAGATGGTAGAAGACTATACTTAAAGCATGAAATTTAAGACGGATTACTCTAGTGCATGACTAAACAGTTGAAAATAGAACTAGTTCTTTTATTCTTCCAAAAAATAAAATAAAAAATGAAGTGATATCATATTTAGAACAAAAACAAGTAACTATGGTACCTCTGAATCAAGTGTGGTGACAAGTGAAGCAGCAAACTGTGAGACTGCCTTGCAAAAAGAGATTATTCTTCCATACTCCATAGGTTCTTTTACTTGGAGACCTTCCTGCATATGACTGCCCTTATCAGTATAGTCACTTACAAAGTGCTTCAAATATCCCTTCTTTTCCTGATCACAGTTATGCCATTCTTCAGGACACCGATCCAAATTACCCCATATGGTTTCACCCCCTTTTGGCATCAATGAGATGATTGAATCCCATGTTCTACATACCCGCATGACATGCTTTAGCGTTTGAAGACCAAGGTAATCAAAATTTAAAATGCCAGAGGCCACAGCTCTACAAAAGTTGTGACTCCATCAGCTACTAAGCATATTATGAATAAGGTATAGGTCACAAAGAATGTGTACTAATCATCCATTGGTGTAAGCAGATTTTGACATATGATAGTTACAGCCTAATTTTTAGTTGTTTAGGGGATACCCTTAAATTTTCAGATTCAAATAGTCTTGCCAACAATATCAAACCTAGTGAATTAGATAATATCAATCCAAAAGTTGATTACAAAAAATTTACATTTAGAAAAGAAAAAGACTTGCATACACATAAGCACTGTTCCAATTTTTTTCTTTTTTCACATTACTTGCAGAGATTCTGTTGGGTTCAACCTTTTCTGTTCTTTAAAATGTGATGATTAGTTTTACCTTATTCATTAAGCTGTATTTTCTTTCATTTTATTTACAATAAAAGTAAAAACTGGTTTTTCTTTTCCCTATCTATCGTTTTGTTTTCTAACTTAACATATTTGATCATACCTTCAATATTAAGCTGAAATTCGTATTAAAATCCCCGTTGATTATTAGAGACATCATTCAATCCGCTAATGATATATGATTTCTAGAATTTCAAATCATATATTCATATTTCATATTAAGAATCAAATTGAAATAGAGGATTTTGTTGCATAAGACTAACCTGACAAATGCATCATCATTGTCTTCAGCTGAAAATATATTCCTAACTGCGTTTGGAACACCAAGAAATGCTGGACTAATATTCATGATTGCTTTGATGTGCTTGTCACACCAACCAGGACCTCCACCGCCTCCCATGGGAGGAGGTGTCTCAACCCATTTTAGGAAATGGAGGAAATAAATAGCCCCCATAGATTGAGCCACCACCACCACTTTCTTATATCCATTTGTTATAAACAGAAACTCAATATTACTCTTCAATCTACTAAGAGCTTGGTCTCTAATCTGCTTTGTCCAATTAAAACTAAATTAGTTGACACATAAGCTCCCCATGAAATTAAAAGCAAATGTCACATTCTTTTTTTATAACAAGAGAAAAAGCACATGAACATGATGTTGGGCCGTGCACGGGGAGCTCATGGCGGGGAGAGACTGCCAACCATGGGCCAAGTGAACAGCAACATTAAGTGAGCTTGAAACACCACAATCAAACCCAAAACCTTAAGGCATTAGGTGCATGGGTCCTTCCACCATGGGATTCCTCATCAAGGCCTTGGCTTCCCACATCAAGACATACTCGGATCACCACAGGCCAATCCACCATTAGCTCTGATACCAATGTTGGGCCGTGCACAGGGAGCTCATGGCAGGAAGAGACCGCCAACCATGGGCCAAGTGAACAGCAACATTAAGTGGGCTTGGAACACCACAATCAAACTCAAAACCTTAAGGCATTAAGTGCATGGGTCCTTCCACTTATATGGTGCTCACTTAGTCCATTCTTAACCAACGTGGGACTTTTTTCACTCAATCATTCACACTTGGATTCCTCAACATATGAAAGCCTATCACCAAATTCCAACCCACATCAAGTTATTGCAACCCCACCATTGATTTTATTATTTTTATCTATAGTTTACCTAATCATAAATGAACAATGAAAGTATGAAGTTGAATTCAATAAACATTATATGAATAAGGTATTGTGATTTTTTTTTAAAATAATCATTATACCTCTGTATTCTGAAAAGACAGTCTCCAGTCATAGGAAGCCATGTACAAGTTCTTCCCTTCATAACCAATTCTTGCCAAATTTTCAATTAAAACAGCCCAAACAAGATAACCAGAAGCCAAGTTGTCTGGAGCAACAAGCCCTGTTACTGCCCTTACTCTAATGCCTGGTGGGTCCAAACCAGTCTCATTATGCAGAGAGAGATGCTCTAACCAACACAAAGGCCTGAATGCCATCACAAATAATAATAAAAAATGCTTATACATATATTGATTGGATTCACATTCACAACATCAACATCTTCAAAAACAATATAATTAATAAATTGAATTACTCTACTCTGAGTTATGACTTATGAGTATGAACTTCATAATCACACACCTTTTGAGTATTTGAGCAAAACTACCACCCCACAACTGCTTTCTGAAAAGGCCTTCAGCACAAGGCCTTCCTTCCCAGAGTTCCAACCCACCAGTTATAATGCCAGGTACCATAACAACAGGGTGAAGTGCAGTCACACCCTCACGGCTTAGCCTCACCCCAGGTGACTCTGGTACATGAAAGCCAGGTAATGTGGCAGGCAAGCACTGGTAGAAGAAACATAGAAGCCACCAAGTGCTGCACATGTACCCAATCATCTTTAAACAGTAATCAATGCACCTCCACTCCTTGTACTTCATCTTGCTTTGCTTCATTTGCTGCTTCTTTTCCACTTCGTTCTCCACTCCCTCATCCTTCTTCTTGTTAGCTTCAAAAGATTGAAAACCAAGTGAGGAGCACTTCACATACCCACATAGCAGAGCTTCCTAAACTTCATAATTGAAACCATTTTCAAGGTACTTACTATTCACAGACACACTGAGACATGTAAATAATGAAGGAGATTCTTCATCATGATAACCATGCTGTGCAGTGGTTCAGATCACATTGTTGGTAATGGTGTAAAAACCAATTCAACCCAAAATTAAGTCATGAGTGACGCTACATTAATAGTTTTATACTTCTTTAAAACGCCTCTCACAGCTTATTGGACTTGAATAGTAGACAATACAAGATTTAATTACGAGACTCATATATTATGTAAAAAATAATTTCTAACCCAATACCTTAAAGACGATGATGAAGCTATATTGATGACTTTATATCTCTCCAACAAATGGTGGGTGAACCAAAGGGTGTACACCTAACAACGTTTGTGTTTTCACTAAGACACTTGTCTTGAAATGTGCATGCAGCTTTGTATCAATTGTCACCATTGAGTTCCAGACGTTTTTATTCTATGCTTTCACGTGGATACCCTCTTTAACCCTTTTGGACCTTTCCACCACAATGAACAAAAGAGAACGAGGCACCAACCATAAAGCGAAGACTGTGAAGCCTTTATGGGTTTTATTATCTTGTATTCTTGTCGTTAGAGTGGCAAGTAATAGAGATGAAAGAGTTGTTTACGGTCCCTATAGTGAGAGAGAAAGGGAATATGATGTGTGTGTCCCTAATTATGGGAAATAGATAGTACATATACAAAAAAACACAGTATACGATGATGCATGTAGCCAAAAAGAGTGTGGAAGGCACAGAGGTGATAGTGTTATATCGTTGTGACTTGTGATTTCATATTTTACTCTATTTTTCGTCTTCATTCTGAATTTGATGCTGTGAAATGTGAATTTATTTGAAAGTGGACAAAAGGGCTTCTAAATCCTATTTGGTGTTTTGCAGCCAACACTTCCTCATTCATATTAGTCCAATTTCTGTAATGTTATCCTCCTCTGACACTATTGAAAATCCCTAGTATATAATTTGAGGATGTCACTTATTGGAAATAATATATGTTTAAAGTTTTAGTTGGTATAATAATGTGAGAACATACCAATATAAATTTATTAAACTTCAAAAATTTGCCGTTTCTCGTTTTGTCTTCTATTTTAGTTTTAATTGGTAAAATCTATGTCTATACAGTACTTCATTCACTAATAAGCCTCCATGAATTATATATGAAACTCAAAAGTCAAAATAGATGGTTCATCTATAAGATTTACTAACTAATAATGGTAAAGAGTGTGATAGTATCAACTATCTAAACAACAATCACTGAAAAGAAAATATTATGTAAATGATATTATCAACGGCAGATTTGAGGATGCCGACAATTCCAAAAGATATCAGCAAGAGAGAAGATGAAGTTTGTTACAAGTATTTGGCTGAAAACCCCTTGTGGTCCCTACCATCGTTATATGGCAAACAGAATAACAAAACTATAGATAACATACGATGGGCCTAGGTGTATCTTAAGCCCTTTTACCTTATTCTACTTATAATGCAACTAAACAATGGGCCTTCCATGTCCCAGCCCAATACCCCACTTCCATCAGAACCAAACTCATCCACTTGTTGGGATTACAAAGTCCCTTAGCCATTGAGGTGTCCTCTTCTCCCTCTTTCTTTCTCTACGTTGTCCACATATCCTTATATCTTTATCACTCTGTCTCTCCTGGTCAAGACTGGTATTCATATCAGTGGGAAGGTGCATATCAATTTCCTTTCCCCTTGAAGACACGATCTTGCCCTCAAGATCGAAGCTTGGAAAAGTTTGGCAGAACTCTGAGTATGAAACCCAGGTAGCGTCTTCCAACAGTAATCCCTCCCATTGTACTAAAAGTTGTAAAATTTCCTCTTTTCCATGCTGTAAGGCACGAGTACGAAGCACAGCCACGGGTGTGGTGACTGTGGGATTGTCCCAGCTTACAGGGGAAGGGATGCCAAGTGAAAGGAGGGGTTCTGGCGATACTGTTTAAGGAGTGACACATGGAACACCGGATGAATACGGGATTGCTCAGGTAGGTTCAATCAGTACGCCACAAGGCCAATGCACTCAGTGATTGGAAAAAGGCCATATAAACGACGTCGTAGCTTGGAAAAGGTGTGGTTGCGGACAAAACGCTGACGATATGGCTGGAGTTTAACTAGGACGAGATCCCCTACCTCAAACTGTACATCTCTTCTTTTCTTTTCCGCTTGGATCTTCATCCGCTGTCGGGTTCTGTATAGAGTCTCCCTGAGCTGCCGTATCATTGCATCTCGACGAGTCAACAATGCGTCAACAGCCTCTACAGAGGACGCAGTACCCTTATACGGTGGAATGCTCAGAGGAGTTCTCCCATACACAATCTGAAAAGGGGAAGCCTCAATCGAAGAATGATATGCCGAGTTGTAGGAAAATTCCGCCCAAGGTAGGTAGTGTACCCATTGCTTTGGTGATTCCATAGTGTAACAACGTAAATATTGTTCTAAACCCCTGTTTGTAACCTCTGTTTCAGGGTGGTTAGCGATGCTATAGCAGAGTTTGGTACCACTCAGACGAGCTAGTTCAGCCCAAAATTTACTCACAAAAATACTGTCCCTGTCAGATGTAATCGAGCGAAGGATCCCATGTAAGCGGCAAATGTTTTCCACAAAGACTGAAGCCACTTTCGTTGTTGTGAAATTTGGAGGCAGAGCTATGAAATGGGCATACTTGGAGAGCCGATCGACTACTACCAAAGTAGCAGTTTTTCCTTTTGAATTGGGTAGTCCAATGATAAAATCCATGGACAATTCTTTCCAATTAGCTAGAGGCACCGATAGAGGTTGAAGTAATCCCGCCAAGGATAGGGGCTGATACTTCGTCACTTGGAAAATCGGACAGGTCCTCACAAATTCTTGAACATCATGTTTCAGGTTGGCCAATAATATATGGGAAGCACCCTCTGCAAAGTCTTCTTCACTCCCTCGTGGCCTCCAATCAAGGATGAGTGAAACTCATGTAGAATGACAGTGTGGAGTTCTAAATTAGAAGCTATCGTGATTCTTCCCTTGAAGAGTATAAGTCCCTCTCGTACAATGTAATGTCTGTACCCTTCAGTCTCTTCTTCAATTTTTTATTTTAACTGAATTAATTCTGCACTGGTTTGAACCTCTACCTTGATTTGTTCAATCAGGTTGTGAGTTACCTTGGTGATGACCATTGCGCAAGCTTCTCTTGCTGTTATGGGTGGTTCAACTTCTGATTTTCGAGATAGGGAATCAGCTACCTTGTTTATAGCTCCAGGGTAATAGTCTATGGTGTAGTCAAAACCAAGCAATTTGACTAAAAAGCGCTGCTGTTCAGGGGTTTGTATAACTTGCCCAATCATATCCTTGATACTTCTCTGGTCAATTCTAATAATAAAAGGCCCCCTAGGAGGTACTGTCTCCACTTAGAAACCCCTTCAGTGATCACAAACATTTCCCTCACGTAGGTTGAAGCCTGTTGCGTTTTAGGGTTGAGCTTCTTACTGAAGTAGGCTATGGGTCGATTGTCTTGGCTTAACACTGCTCCCACTCTGCTCTCAGAAGCATCTGTAGTCAATACAAACTTTTTAGTGAAATCTGGCAGTGCTAAAATTGCTCAGCTCTATCTTTCCAAATAAAGGCATCCTTGTGTAGTAAAGCAGTTAAGGGGGCTACAATTTGAGAAAATCCGCGAACAAACTTGCGATAATACCTTGCCAACCCAAGGAAACCACGCAACTGTTTAATGGTGAAATCCAATCCATTATTGCCTGGATTTTCCCCACATCTGGTCGTACCCCTTTTGCATCCACCATGTGACCCAAGTATTCCACTTCCTCTTGAGCAAATGTACATTTTGATCTTTTGGCATACAACTGATGTTGTCTAAGACACTTTATGACCTATCGTAGGTGTTCTACATGCTCCCATACTGACTTACTATATATCAGTATGTCATCAAAGAACACTATAACAAATTTGCGCAGAAATTCCTTCAGAATTAAGTTCATAATACTTTGAAAGGTTGCCGGTGCATTTATGAGCCCAAAAGGCATCACTACAAACTCATAGTGTCCTTAATGTGTCCTGAAAGCTGTTTTGTACACATCTTCAGGAGCCATTCTGATTTGATGGTACCCTGAGCATAGGTCCATTATGGAAAAGATCACTGCCCCTGTTAACTCTTCTAACATTTCATCCACTGTAGGAATTGGAAACCGGTTTGGTATGGTAACTTGGTTTAGGGCCCTATAATCTACACATAACCTCCAAGTCCCATCTTTTTTTTTACCAACAAGGCTGGAGATGAAAATGGACTCAAGTTAGGCCTAATGACGCCTGTATCTAGCATTTCTTTCACCATCTTTTCAATTTCAAATTTTTGAAAATAGGGATACCTGTATGGTCTAACGTTTACTGGTTTTGTGCCAGTTCAAGATGGATTTGATGATCCTCCAACTATATGGGGGGTAGCTGGTTGGGAGTAGCAAAAATATCCTCATACTCCTGCAATACTGGTTGTATCAAAGAATGACACATTTCCTCAATGTGTGGTTCCTTCAAAGACTTGTGGTCAATGGCTAAGGGACTTTGTAATCCCAACAAGTGGCTGAGTTTGGTTCTGATGGAAGTGGGGTATTGGGCTGGGATATGGAAGGTCCGTTGTTTAGTTGCATTATAAGTAGAATAAGGTAAAAGGGCTTAAGATACACATAGACCCATCGTATGTTTTCCTATAGTTTTGTTATTCTGTTTGCCATATAGCGCTGGTAGGGACCACAAGGGGTTTGCAGCCAAATACTTGTAACAAACTTCATCTTCTCTCTTGCTGATACCTTCTGCAGTTGTTGGCATCCTCAAATCTGCCGTTGATAATATCATTTCCATAGTCTTTTCTTTTCAGTGATTGTTGTTTGGATAGTTAATACTATCAATTTGATGCTCTTGTTGAGAGAAACTTCCAAAAAAAATGGCGGAAGGAACTCGTTCAACAGTGAAGACGAACATGATGGAAGAATG